GTCAGACAGACTCTGTCTGATTGAGCAGATGTTATGATTGTGCTTGTAGTTGAACTGTGCCCAGGTTACTGGCTACCCTGACTGAGTCGCTTCAGGTTTTAAATCTCTCCATATGCACTTGATTTCATTCATGCATGCTGCATGCCCTACTATTGCATTTGTCATGATTTAATTACTGAAATACTGTTTTAAGAAGAGTACAGATTATGAGACTCATCACTGTGTAGCTTTCCTCTCATCATTTTACTTGTTTTCTGTAAGATCCAAATATTCTGTTCATCATGTTCTAAAAAAATATATTTTAAGAGTTTCTCTTGTATGTATTTTGTGTAATGCTGATAAAGTATGAAATTATTGCTGTGTTGAGAAATGGCTACTTCATTTGGGGAGCTATTTTGAAAGAATTAATAGAACAGAAGCCATCCATCATATGCCTCAAAGTACATTGTACATTGCAGTGTGAGGAGCTGGCAATGGCTACTTTGGAAGACACGTCTGCTGGTGTGGTGGGATCTGCTACTCAAATTCTCATCCCAGTTCTTGCAAAGTGGGCCTTTGATTTGGGTCGACTTCAGAGCCATCTGCTGACTCGTTTGTTGCTGAAACTCAAGTCTCAGATTAAGGTGACATTTTAAACTTAATTAATATCCCATATTTGTTACTCCTTCATGTTTTAAGGTAAAGGTAAATTTGTCCTTGTGCTTATTAATTAATTAAGAACCATGTCATGAAGTTGTATGTGGGTGTTGAGGTATGGATCTATCTCTCATGCTTTAGAAAGATTATCAAAGTTCACTGTACACATGTACATTTGTAAATATGGTAATGTAGCTGGTTCTCAGCTTGTTAGAGAAGAACTGTTTTGCTCTGATTGAACCCAAGATGGCTGTCCATCTGAATGTTTGTTTCATTTTTCTCCCCTAATTTCCTTCCATTTCTTCCTTCATTGTTTTTCTTCTTTCTGTCCTGCTGCTTTTTGGCCTCTCCGCTGCGTGTGTATGAGGCTCCTGCTTCAAACTATAAATGTTGACATGGCAGACTCTGTTTGCTTGAGAAATATATATCTTTATATCTTTGCCAGAGACCAGGAAGATTGATTAGACTGGAAGTATTGGCCACAGTAACAGGAGGACTCTGCATCAGTGGTTGCCACCGTCCTTGTCGTCTGTTTAGCCAGTCCTGGCTCCAAATGTAGCTCTTAGGGTTCTAATTAAAATCATAAAATATAGAACAATTGTTCATAGTCTTTTCTTCCTTTTGGTTGACAGAATGCTTTTTGGGGTATGGATATTTTTTTATTGCATTGTTAATAAGTAAATTATTTTTAGGAGCATTCACAACCTTGTAGAGCACCAATTAAAATTGCCCATCTGTCAGTCCATTAAAAAATATTCAGAATTACTGGGGTTTTGGACCTTTTCCAATGTCCAGAATTTTAGGTAATAGAGGACATGACGTTTTGGAAAGTGGATCTATTTACGTCTTCAGGTGAGAAAGGAAGACACGTACTCAGTTGGGCCCATTAGAAAGAGCTAATCTCAATCACTGATTAGCTCTTTCTAAGGGGCCCAACTGAGTAGGTGTCTTCCTTTCTTACCTGAAGATGGAAACAGATCCAGTTTCCGAAATGTCGTGTCCTCTATTACATAAAATTCCGGATAATGGAAGAAGTCCAAAACCCCAGTAATTCTGTGTGTCATCCACCATCATCAGAACCCTTTAGAATCTAAAAAAAAATACTGTATGTATTTACTTGGGTCACATGAGTTCATCTGTTGATGTGTCTGTTGTGTAAGAAATTGAGACAGTGAAAAGTGTTAAATTTTTTCTTTAGATTATGAATAGTATGCTATTTGTGGGGAGCATCAGAAGTCCCCATTCATGTATTGAAAATGTAGTGGCAATAACAGAGGCAACAAACCAGATGCATACATTTTCTAAATGGTTCTGTATGTTTTCTACATTCTGTAACTGTATTTGTTTACATCTCTATGTTCATCTTATGGTGACTTCACTACTTACTCCTGCAGACTTCACTGTCAGAGTCATCAGGGTCACTGTCACATAGGAGAAGCTCATGCAGTGACCAGAGATGTGCATGGTCTGTGACAGTGCTCCAGACACTGGTGCCTTACATTGTGATGTCTGTAGCAGCTGTGGACACCATCCTTAGCAGAATCACAAGTTCTACTCCAATTGTGCAGAGTAAGTAATGGCATATCAACACACATTCCACATCTTTGTACTGCAATCATGGTGGGCCGATACTGCCTGTGTGTTTCATGTGATATCAATGAATATTTTATGTTAGAGATGGATATTAAAAATGGTGCAGTAAATTTGAATGAACAGAACGAATTCACTACAAGCCAGAAGATGGTCGGTTCGAGTCCTGATGGGGTGGATTTTTCAGTTCACCTAATCCTTCCAGCCACACCATGGCCCTGGGGTCGACTCAGCCTCTAACAGAAATGAGTACCAGGAATCTTCCTGGGGGATATAGGGTGGCTGGCATGTAAGGCTGACAACCTTAACGCCATCTGTGACCCAATTGTCTAGAGAAAATGTGGGAGCCTCGATGTCTCACAACCCTATGGGCCTTCACAGCCTGTTATAGGGATGGCATAGCAGTGAATTTAAGTTTGGGTCATAGTGTGATCCATTATAGCCCATACTTTACATGAACCTGAAATATAATGTTATTCCATTTTCCAGGATGGCTCATTGTACAAAAATTGTTAGAGGAAATAAAATGTAGGTCTCATTAATATCTGTATATTTTATTTGAGATGTTTTTTGATGCTGTATGTTTTAAGAATATGGGGAAGTACTCATTCTTGGGAAGATGCAGTAGGTTAAGCCTGTGTTTTTACCATACCAATCAGTCGCACTAATATTCTTTCAGTCTGGTCTCTCCAGGCCGGGTGAAGGTACATATTTCCTGCATCATACATTTGTGCCATTCTTGTGGTGAATTAGAACAACAGTATTAACTCTTTTCAGGACAAGAATTTTCTGCATTGGGTCATGGATTGACAAATCCTTCTGTCTTCTATGAAGGCGAATATGATGTTGGTTTAATCTTGGGTTCTTTTGAGTCATATGTTAGTCAAGAATGGTTTGAAGATTGGACGGAGCTGGAGTGGACATGTAACACCTTGTAAGTAGCTAAGTAACCTACAGAATAGCTGACTGATACACAGTTTGCTTGGGTGAGTGGCTGCTGACTGACAGACTAGCCTACTGATTGGCTGATAGCCTGACTAACGGGCTTAACTTACTGTCTAGCAGGGTTTGAGAGGTGAGATGTTGCCTGAGCCAGTCACAAATGTGGGGCCCCCACCCCACTCCCAAAGAAATATAAATAAATTTAATAAATACTTAAAAAATAAGATCTTTATGTCACATGAATATCATGAAAGGCCAAGAATAATAAGTCAGCAGTTTGACTAAACTTAATTCCCACATTCTTGCTTGCTTGTTAGAATTTTTTAACTGAATTGAGAGTACACTGGGGGCCTCCTTAGGCCCACAGGCCTGGGCCAAATGGATCCAGCTGTATGGTAATAGAATATGAAGTTTCAAATATGTTAAAGATGATTCACATCATCACAGAATACTTGTCTAATATATGTAAATGTGACTGTCTTGTTTCATTGCCACTGACTGCTTTCAGTAATATTTCATATTAGTCATATTAAGCTATGTATTCATCCTATGGTAACCTTATTTTGAGTGCTGTAACAGATTCTAAGCACAATAGAATGACAGCACAGTCAGCATGGGTAGATAATGAAGTGCCTATGACCATGCTACTCTTTTCCACGCTTGATTTACTTTTCTGAAAGTGGAGGCCGCATATTTCTCCAAGATGTCAGTAAACTTGTAGCATCCTTTGTGACCTCACATCCAAGAAGGCAGTAATCTTGTTGTCAAATGATTTGTCACATGCAGTTTCATTATTACTCAGCGGCCTCCGTAGTCTAGAGGTAACATTCTCACCTCATGACTCGTAGTACACGGGTTCAAATACCCGGCGGAGGTCGTCGAATTTTTAAGGGCGGAAAAATTCAGGGAACAAGTCCTCCGGGAGGGACTTTAAGCCGTGTGTCCCGTGTCGTAACTTTACGGCACGTAAAAGAACCTCATATCTCCAAAGGAGATCACTGAGCCAAATTCCAGGATGTTTCCCACCCAACAATAGTCTCTAAAGCCTCTGATAGATGGGGGAAGCATTATAGACACCATCAAGCAAGTGGAGGCCGAACTCGCTTGCTCGGCAGGACTGATGGTATGCACCATTATTGGTCGGGTATAGAGACTGGTAGAATATCATAGAGGGAAGCACAATGGACCAATACTGGTCTAAGTGCATCCACCCTCTTCAATAACTAACTAACTACATTATTACTTATACAGACCCTCAATGAGGAAGTTCATTGTGTGTGTGAAGTGTCTGATGTCTTTTGATTGAAGTATGTATGGATCCTTGTCTAGTGTCAGCAACATAGTAAGTGGAGTTCTGTCTTCTGGGATATATCGCCGTGTAGTGTCTTGGAAGTTAACCAGTGTTTGGAGGGGCAAGTCGCCCTTATCTTCTTGGTTGAAGAGTAAGCCAAGGAAGAAACACTCTGTCTGTTACCTGTGTTGAGCTGATTTGTTGCTTGGCATGTTTTTCAACCTGGAAATGGAGGTAACATGTTACTATGAAATGTCGGTTGACTTTCAGCAGACTACACAGCGTTATATTCCAGAGGATAGAAGAAATCTTCATAATCACCTCTGTGAGAATCACAGGTCTTACAACATAGTAAGTACCATTAGCATGTGGTTTCTGTGGGCTTGTTTGTTTCCAGGTTGCCAGGTCTGCTCGACATTCTTAAAGGAGTTGAACTTTCTCAGGAATTGCTAGTTTCATCATTTATTAAACTATTCAGATCTTTGTGCCGTGGATTTGGGAAGTCTTTCACAAGAGAGAAGGTACTGTATTGTAATTATCTGTCTTATCCTTCTGTGCCAGAGAATTAATCAATCCACTGAAGTTGTGTAATGATCCTGTTCATCTGATTCTTAGAAGCTGCTTTTTTGTTGCATGTAATTTATGTGTGTTCAGCAGTAACATTGGAGCATCAGCAAAATAATTTAATATTAACAAAATAACGTGGCAATTCTTGCATAGCCTGTAATGCTAGGAATGCAACAGAGGTGATGACACTGTGTTGTGGGCCACTTAGCTGATGTTTAGGGAGCTTAGCTGTCTCAGTCTTCAGCTTGTAGTTACTAAACAGTCCAGCCAGTAAATTTCTGCTGGCCATCATCAGCACAGTGATTTCGTCCCTGAAACTCACTGTACTCTGAGCTCTGAGAGCATTCACACCCAGTTTCAGTTACTAAACAGTGGCCTGACTCTGATATTTATAGTTTTGGGTTATAAAGCAGTGGACAATTCCATTCTTAAGTTAGTTCGAGTGGTAACATTTGTACCTTCTATTTGGAAGGTGCCTGCAAATCACATGACATTTAGAAAATAAACTAGAAATGCAAAATCTTCTGAAGGTAGGCATTGAAAAGCAGAAAATACAAAAGGGAATGCAGAAAAGTAGCCCTGAAGGGTTTTTTTGTTCTTTCCTTTTGTCTGTACATCTACCGGTTAGAGCACAGATTCCCTACTGCATAATGACTTGGAACCAGGCTAATGTTTGTTTGTTTTTTTTATTGCTAGTGGGGTGGGACTAAGTCCCTTGTACTGCGGCCACTTCTGGCCTATTATATCAGCTCCAGATGATGGGTGAGGGTTATTGTGGAGAAATTGATGGAATGAAAGTTGGCAGGGGAAACCATAGTACTCAGAGAAAACCTGCCCCAGTGCCACTTTGTCCACCATCAATCCCACTTGACCAGACCCGGGATCGAACCCAGCCGCCACAGTGGGAAGCCAGTGACTAACTGCTTGAGCTATGGCGCAGCCTAATGTTTGGTTACTTTGCCTTGAACACAGAGGCAGCCCAAAAGATTTGAAAGCAGCCATCACAACACAGTTTCATCACCCAGAAACAGAAACGGTACTGTTCACAGTTTATTCCCATATCTGTTCACATGCACACAAGTGATATCTGCAAGAGATCTGTGTTTTGCAGGTGTTACCGCTGTTTGCAGAAAGGCTTCAGAGTCTTGAACAGAGTTTGATGGATGTTGGCCAGGGAGCAGGCTGGCCACCTTTATCTATTGTGCCTGTATATCTCATAGGGGTTGTAGCATCAGTGCAGGTGAGGTACCACAATTTTGTATTGTACACATATACTTACAGGTCCTCCATTAATAGTATTGTAACGTGTTTTCCGTTACTGAAGATGCCGTAGAGATGGTTAATTGGTTTATTTAACAATCTACAAATAACGGCTACAATTACTTATCACACAGTTGCGGGGTTTCACACTTTATAACCCTAATCGCATTCATCTGTTAACACTTTTGCGGGGTTTCACACTTTATAACCCTATGCGCAAATCAGTTCACTCTGTCTTCAGTAGTCTACACGTTTACAGTAGGGGAGCTATGTATCACTGTTTATCCGTGTTGCCTAGCGACCGCGATATCCCTTGGTGACGTCACCGCGGGGAGAGTGGTGGGGTGATGACTCGCCTATTACGCAAGCGCTACGCTACCGATACGTGCAGCTGGGGAGGTAGGGGTCAACATGTCACAGTATTATTCGCCTTCCTCTCTCTGGTCTAGTGGTCAGGGTTCCTGGCTACAGATCCAGAGGTCCCGGATTCGATTCCCGGCACTACAAGATTTTCTGAGAAGTAGTGGGTCTGGAACAGGGTCCACTCAGCCTCGTGAGGATAATTGAGGAGCTATTTCAAGGAAATAGCAGCTCCAGTCTAGAAGACCGAGATTAGCGGCTGTGGGGATCCGTTGCGCTAACCATGTGACTCTCTTTATCTACAAAAGTTGGCACTAACTTTGCCAACAAATGGCGGTTGCTTGGTCAGTATAGTTTGCTTGCGGACTACAGGCCATGGAAGTTTGTTTTTGTTTTTATTTGTTTATTGCCCTTCCTGGCCCATACCTGATGCAGCAGTAAAATGTGGAGACAACCGTGAGGCAGACTCTGCATTCCTGATGGTAGGTTGGTGACTGACAGAGGAGACCTACAGCTTGACATAGACAGTTAGCTGTGATAAGGACCTGTTATTCCCAACATTCACAAAGTTTTGTCTTTGTCAGAGGTGACAGGAAGATCATACAGAAAAAAAACAACACATTTTGGATCCTGCGAGATCTCAAACCCATGACATTTGCTGCAGAAGTCCATTTCCTTACCCCTAGACCATTAGGTGCCTTTATATTGTGACGTACAGACCCATTGCCAGGAAACGAGTTGACAAGCACGTTTCCCTAGAGATTGATTCTTGGAAACTAACTCGTTACGGAACACATTTCCATGGATACGAGTGAGCAACAAACAAATCGTTGGATACAGATATGCTATATAGTAGGCCATTCAGATCAGAGTGAAGTCAGTCATAAATCAGAATCAAGTCAATCGTAGTTCAGATCAGAATAGAGAGAGACCAGAATGGAAACAGTCCTAGGCAGTCATTTATTGTGAGTTGCTGTAAGTCATTGTGATTATGAGTGGTGTTAAAAAGAAGGTGTGAATAAATCCAATCATCCAATCCAAACCCTGTTGTTATTAGTCACATAGCCATAAACATATGACAGTATTATATAGTTTCAGAAACATTTTATCTTTAAGGGGAATTGGCAGCAAGACAGTTAATGCCTGTGGAGTGAATGTAAATATATGGTGAAAAAATGACTGTGAAGTTGCTTCACATCTCTGAGAATTATGACAGATAGAGCAATATACAAAGCTGAGTGTGTTAGAGGATATCTGCCTACTTACCTGCCTATGTACCTACCACTTGGTGCTACAACCGTGGGGGAGCCTTGGCCTCCTTTACAGCCAGTCTCCACAACCAAAGCATGCTGCCATAGGAATGGATCCACGCATGATGACCCAAGGCTGGCGGTTAGGTTTGTGAACAAAATTCTTTTTACAGGATGAGGTTGTTAGCCTCATGCTTAACCCCCAGCCTGGAGGACCAGGGTATCTTTCTTAGTCTGGACTCTACCCTTCGGTCTTTCCGGCAAGGGTGACCCTACTGGTAGTTATACTACCACTGGCATAACTCTCCAGGTCACAGGGTCACGCAAGCTCCACCAGCATGACAAGGTGGAGACCGCTTTCAAGGGATTAGAGGATATCACACACTCAATTACTACTAGACACATTATAAGATGGGCACTGAAATTTTGAACCAAATCTGCTGGGTAGATTGCATGTTATGTTGCTTCAGAAAATATGCATTGTACTGAAGCAGCTGCTGGTGCACGTAGGAGAGTGTCAAACTACTCGGGTGTGGTTGTGTTAAATCACCAGTTATAGAACCAGTCTTGTTCTTTGGGATCCTGACTGGAGGTGTCTGTTACAGGATGCTGAGGCAAGTGATGAGTTATGTGCACAGTTGAAGAGATTCCTCTGTGCACTGCCAGTCTGTGGCACTCCATTGGACTGTCTAGACATGAGTGTGCATAGTCTCTCCAAGGAGCCAGACCATCAAGATGCAGTGTTGACTGCACTGTGGGAGGGTGTGGTACACCCACGACCTGTTGTTCGTAGTGCAGCAGCATCTCTGTTTGTGGCAACAGTGGGCAGTTTATCAGAAGTTCTAATGGCAACCCGTGTCACTCCTGCGCTTGTTACTCTGGCCAGTGACCCAGACTTGTGAGGAACTCTATATTATGTTGAGACAGAATTGGGAGGAGAAGAATATCATTAGGTTTAATTCTCATTGTCTGGTTTGTTTGTAGGTAAATGTAAAGTTGGCTTTGTTTCTAAGCACAGCTGTGTGGTGGGTGTTGTACATAAAGGCTTCATACTTCCAACTTGATATGCTATAGAAGTTATGGTCTGTCTCGTGTTCTTCTACTTAACCTTCAGCAAAAGATCTTATAATAGTGGAGAGAAAAGTCGATGCCCTTGTGGGAACTAGCCTGGTAGTTCAGCCTGCAACCAGTTGCTTTAATGGCCGAGCTCTCTTGGCTGAAGTAAACATTGGAGTAATATAATGTTTTATTTACTTAGTACCTTCTTTAACTTACAGAAAAAAACTTTTTGACTTACAGATCTGTGAGAACTGCAACAATTCCAGCCTTTGGTACTTTAATCAACAACACAACCATGAAAGAAGTGAGTTGATGATGTTGTTTTAAATGCTGTATGATGAAACCTGTGGGGCCTATGCTTGCAATGGTATCCACTATTATTCCACAGCGATATTTTTACCCCAAAGGAGAAATGGGTTGTGTGTGTTTAAGAACACAGTGTTGAGGAAAATATTTGGACCTATGAAAGAGGAAATGACAGAGGGATGAAGAAAGTTTTGAACTGTGGATGGAAATTTGTATTCCACATCTAATGTTATCAGGGTGCTTAAATCTGGAGGTCTGAATTGGGCAGGACATGTAGCACACATGGGGCAAATGAGTAATGTATTCATACTTTGGACTGAAAGACTCAATTTAAGAGTGCTTGGGAGTCATTTCTTTAGAATGGACCTGTAAGAAATAGGGTTTGTTGCTGTGGGCTGGATTCAGATGTCTCAGAATAGGTTACTTTTGTGAACAAGTAACGAACCTTAAGGTAAGCAGGGAATTCTTGACCAGCAGAATAAATATTAGCTCTGTATGAAAATTATGCACTTGAAATTAGTGGGTTTTTTTTTAAGTAAGTGTGTAATATATGTAGTAAAATGTCTTTGTGCAAGGTTCAAGATAAAACATACATGCAAATCCAGAGTTTCCTGTCTGATCCGATGACACGTGAAAACCACTCTATGCTGCTGCAGTTGGTAGCTACCATGGGTCACATCATCTCAGCCTGTGAGGCATGGTTCAGGGAGGAAGGTATGTCCAGAGTGTACACTGAGGCAGCCTTTTCATTTCTTCATTAGCAGCTGTGTTACAGAGGCTGTACTAGTGCTGAGTATATGCAGTCATTGTTTAATTTTATGTATTGTATGTATGTTCATATGAATGGAATTTTGTTTCATGAAGCAAGGACTGTCTGTACTTCCTTAATGAAGTGTATTTGTGAGGTGATGCTTCTTAATTTTTTTTTTCCAGTAATTTTGCCTCAACTAGCAGGAATGGCAGCATATGCATTGCATATGTCCAATCAGACACGAAAGTTGGACCTGGCAGTCACTCTTGTTGAAAGTTTCTCGTCTGCTGTTTACTGTGCTCTGTCCAAGCAGACCATAAGCACTGCATTACTTCCCGGTCTCAGGTATTTCTAGCCTGTATTTGTGACAGTGAACTGGAAGTGATCAGAACATGTTGTCCACATGAATAATATGGCAACTTTAATTACCACTTTTCATGAAGACTTGCTTGTGTTCCTACACATATTTCCAGCATAACTTGCTGAATATTTATTGGGGGGGGGGGGTCAAAAATCTAGAGAGAAATTAAATATCAGTACACCTTTTTCATAAGCTTATGGTTTTCATGATAATTGAACAAATTGGATGCTATGCCTACATCTACAAATTTTTATATTCAACAATCACCATGGTCTGATGACACCCAAAACTTGGATTATCTGTTTTTTTGATTATCTATGCATTAGCACTGACAATTTTGAGTATTTAACATGTAACATTTCCAGCTTATAGAGTAAATAGGATTTAATGTGAATCTAAATGTTTGTGACAGTGATTTAATATTGTTATTGTCAGTGATTTTATTTTTTGTTGGGACATTTATTTTTGGATTGATCATTAAGTAAATTAAAAAGATGTATAAGATTTCATACTGGCTGTTGCTTCCTTTATGTAACAGAAAGAAGGCACTAACTTAAGTCTGGTGATAAGGACTATGGACTAAGGACTATTATGTAATGGATCTCACAGAGTAGATATTTGTCCATTTTATATGAAAATAGCCATTGTAGGCCCTTTCCTTACCTGAATATAGAGATGACCTAGGTATAGCAACTAGCACTATGTAACAGGCGCTCTTCCCTTCTGTCTGAAAATATAGACATAGCCAACCTAAGCATAATGGTAAGGACTTGCTTTGTCTGACAGGTCTTGTGGAGTATAAACTATTTCCTAAGACAAGAGACATTGTAGGTGTAGCAGCAAGTAATGGGCTGTGTAGAATATGTACTCTTTCATTTTGTCCAAAGGAACATCCATCTGAGGTCTAATGATACAAAATGGGCCTCCTAGGATACATACTCTTTCTTTTTATGTGAAGATGGAGACAAAATTCATAATAGCTTTGTTTCTAGCGATAAGGGTTAATTTTGTCTGATGGGTCCTAAGTATCTTTTCCTTTTTCCTGAAGATGGAAACAGTAGAGCCACCGTCTGATACGTTCATCCTTTCGGTCCAGTTAGTGGACAGTGTCCATAGAAGACCCCCACCATGTCAGTACAGAATCCCTGATACAAGTATTTAGAATCACAGATTTCATCAGTGGTTTCTGAAAAAGAAAGTATTGTATTATCAGTACTTGACTGAAGTCATGCACGTATTCTCTGCCTGTTTCCTATCTTCTTATATTTATCAGAACATGATATGGTTTGTTTGTGATAGATGTTTGGAGCAAATCAGCAGTCAGTCATTACCATCTCATCATGATACAGTCCAGGCCATGATAAAAGGAGCAGAATCTCGCATTGAAGTACAGCGAGCTCCGGAGAGGTAATATGTAGATTCCAGTTGAAACAGCATAAGAGAATATAGTGTGACAAATATTATGGATTTATTGCTGAAGTGTTACTTGAATTGTTGTATGTTTTTCTGTTTTGCATCTCTGTTTAAGCACCCTAAGAATAATAAGTGAAGAGCTCACTATGCAGGTTCTTATTATGTAATTCTCTTCAATCTCCTCTTCTCTGTCATGTTTATATATCATTCTCCTTAGTCTGTGCCCTGAAGACTGAGAGACCAAGTTTTACTGCTGTATAAAGCATACTTACTTACTTACTCACTCACTCACTCATGCAGGAGCTGCCAATTGTGCAGCTACTCAAGAATTTCCCAGCATTTTATGGAACCCGAAGGTTCATTACTATGTTCACAAGAGCCCTCCACTGGTCCCTATCCTGAGCCACATCAATCCAGTCCATACCATCCCATCCTATATCTCTTTAAGATCCATTTTAATATTGTCCACCCACCTATGCCCTGGTCTTCTCAGTGGTATCTTTCTTTCTGGCTTTCCCACCAATATCTTATATGCATTCGTCTCCCCATTCGTGCTACATGCCATATAAAGGAACATATAGAAATATAGTTTTCTGTATTTTGAAAAGTGAAAAAAAAAAAAAAAAAGTTTAGAACTGAATGGTAGCATATCCTCAGAATACTACATCTGTTATCATTGTGAATGTTTTTCCCAGTTAAATGATATTTGCCTGTACCTTTTTTAAGTTTCTATCATAGCACTGAAATTGACACTTGAAAATTAGCTCTCCTGCTTCATATTTGGGAGGGCCTGGAATTGAATCTTGGCCTGAAAATGCCTAACCAAGGTTAAGCATTATTTTCCTCAGTTCCTCAAGGTAAATGCTGGGATAGTACCTTAATGTAGGACATATATATGCCCTTTCAAATTTCCTATCATCCCACCATTCAACAGAATCTATTCAGTGCCATTAAATAATCCAGGAAGCATTCTTCACATCTGAAAATTTATTTCTCACTGATGTAAATCCAGAACTTGCTTTTCCTCCCAATTCTTTCAAGTTAATCACATGTCATGAGTAGTGCTCTTTCATACTGGGGAGCTCTGAATTTTGATCTTGGCTTCAAACTGGCTATCCTGACAGGTTATTTTTTTAATGGGTTTCCTTAGTTCTTTTAAGGCGTCTGCAAGGGCACTATATTATAATAGGCTATGACTGCTTTCTCCCAGGACTTCATTTATGATCATCCTGTAATTTAACGTTTTGTGCTGTATGGGTTAATAAGTTGATACAGCATAATTTAGTGAACCAACAGAAATGTAGACATACACATAGATGTACACACAGGTAGGTGGACAATGTTAAAATGGATCTTAGAGAGAGATGATGAGGTGTTATGGACTGGATTGATCAGGCTCAGGATAAGGACCAGTGGAGGGCTCTTGTGAACATGGTAATGAACCTTCGGGTTCCATAAAATGCTGGGAAGTTCTTGAGTAGCTCCACAATTGGCAGCTTCTCAAGAAGGGCTCACTTCCATGAAGTTAGTGAATAGAAATGTTATGTTTACATTTTGAAGTTTTAATTTACTTCCAGGTCTGGCAGTATAAGCCTCGCGATGGCAACTGCTAATGTTGAAGATATGAAGCAAAGAGTATCCAAGATATTTCATAATAAACCAGTGGTGAATCGACCAGCCAATCTGGCTTATATTCCTGGCATTTTCCGAAAAAAATGAGTGACTCTTTCCAGGCATGTTGAACAGACATTTATCAGGTATTCAGATTGGTATTTATATAGCAAGTAAATATACTGTACAGATTTTGATTACATATTTTGTTTGTAAAAGTGAAACACGTGTTTTTAGGATTTAGACTGCTGCTCCAGAATTCAGATACATTATTATTGAGCAAGTAGGCTCATGTGATAGCTCACTAGATTTGTATTTGGGAGCTTGCTAGTTCATATCTCATCAAGACACATCTCAACTGAATCTTTTTATGGTTTTCCTCAGCCAGTACAGGTGAATTGCAGATTAGGTCACTATGCCTTCCGTGCACATCCTTTCCGATTTATTATTAGATATCATCTGGTTATTTGATGCTATATAGTTTGAGTTACGGGCAGCATCATAAAGTAAGTACAAGTAAATAATCACAGTTTAACTGGTTTGTAATGTGTTTGTTGCCTTTTATAATATAATTTGTATATGTGCTGGTATTTGGTACATAGGCCATGCATGTATTAGAGAATCAGAAGCCAGAAATTCCTGCTACTTATATACATTACAAGACACATTTTCAGTTTTCATTGGTTCTTTCATCCTTTCCTTTCCTTTCCTTCATTCTATAGCTTCATTTTTCAGAAGGACAAATGTTCAGCTTCAGCAGACTGACATACATTCCTTGGAAGGTGATTCTTTTTTTTGTGGGGATGTTAAAGTTTTGGTGATTAGGCTCTTATTATTTTTTAGTTACCAAGTCTTTGTTAAGGCAGCTTCTTACCGTGTATATCGAAACTTTTCACGTACAGTGTTTGCTGATAATATGTGTGGATTTGTATTTGTGTGTGATGCTTATATTGTTGTTTTTGTTTTCTTATTTTTTATATAACATCTCAGACTATGTAGCATCTAATGGTAGGATAGTTGATGAATCGGAAAGGATTTGGAAGGAAAGAATTGTGACCTAATCATGGTAATGTAATGGCATTTGCCTAGAGGGATTGAGGAAAAACATGAATGACCTCATTCAGGAGAGTTGGTATTCTGGTCAAGATTTGAAGCACGTACCTTCTGAATACAAATCTAGATCATTATTGCTACACCTTCCTGCTTAGTTGACACTTTTCTCTGTGTGAGATATAAGTATTTTGCTGTCCATTGCTGCTTTCTCTATGTGCCTCTCTAGTCACAGATTTTGATTTTAAGTAAGATAACAGGTCCCAAGTCTGGGCGACAAGTCAGTGGTTCAGTGCTTGTTTGATGCATTTTGCTTCTTTCACAACTTTGTGAATATGAGGAATACTGGGTTGCTACTGTGGCTTGGATCCCATATTTTGGTGACTGCTCACTCTGCTGGTTGTCATCCTCGTCATTAACCTAGCATTCGGTGTAGTAAATCTGCCTGTGCTTCGCATCAGAAATAGGACATAACTGGAGGCATTGGCAAAATCAGCTTTTTCAGAGATAGCTGTAGTGTACTGGATGACATACTGCTGTGTTAATTTTCAGTAAATGCATTGATTATTTAAGAGATTCTGTAATTAACATTTCTGAACTTGCAGACCTGGTTTACAGTGGTGAATAGACCAGTCTCTGTTAATAGGTAAAAGGAAAGATGAAATTATCCCTGCAATAGGCCTTGGAGGCCCATAGGGTTGTGAGTTGTCAAGGCTCCAACATTTTCTAGACGATCAGCTCACAGATGGCGGTGAGGTTGTCAGCCTTATGTGCCGGCAGCCCTTTACCCCCAGGGAGATTTCTGGTGCTCATTTCTGTTAGAGGCTTGAGTTGACCCCAGGGCCATAGTGCAGCTGGAAGGACTAGGTCAACTGAAAAATTCAGTGACCTCATCAGGAATTGAACCTTCTGGCTTGTAGCGTAGTGCCTCATCCAACTACACTAATGCATGCCGAATTTTCTGTTAGTAGACAATAAATAATTGCCTGAGGGCAGAAAGTGGTCTGTGGGTTTGATTTGTTTCATTCTGGTCCGTCACACTAACAATCACAAATATAAATCACTCCGTCCAATGTGACTTGTAAGTTTTTTACTACATGAAAACTCAACACCCTTACATGTTTCGGTCTCTGTGGACCATCTTCAGAGGGCAAACATCACTACAAATAGGAAACCACCATCACATAAGTTGTTTAGACGTAAAGTACGTACACTTATATGCTACAATACATAGTACACAAAATAGAACATTTCACAAACACAGCAGTTTCCTGGCAATGTAAATTTTTTTTTAATATAAAAAAAAATTGTATAAAATTTTCTTCATGCTAATTAAAAATTTGTGTTGTCAATAGTTAAAATTCGTAAACCATGCAGGCTCGTGTTCGTCCTCCCATCGTCCCTCTTATATGAGGCAGATATTGTGCCACCTGGCTATCTTGATATGGAGGTTCTTTATATCATCCAGGATTTGCTCGTGGCTGCTGTGCTGTTTTCACTGTAAGGGTGCTGAGTTTTCATGTAGTAAAAAACTTACAAGTCACATTGGACGGAGTGATTTATATTTGTGATTGGTCTGTAGATTTGTACTTTTAATGCAGAATTTATTTACTCTTTATACTTGATATTTACAGAAATGCATAGAATCACAGTGCTGCAATCACTGGTGTAAAATACTTCAAATGTAGACTGTAGAATGTACAAGGGTACATGCAGCACCATGAGTTTGTTTTATTATATACTTCGTTCTCCAGATGTGAAAGTTTGAAGATTGCTGTGAGATTTCTTATGGTTGTGATCTGTATTTCATTGAAGTACAGTTTCTTAGGTAATTTTAACACTAAGTGAATGTTTATTAGCTTATTTTATATATACTGTACACTGTTTTGACATATTTTATAAAACACTAAAAATACACACAGATACTTGCAAATGTTATAGTATTTTATTTCATATTTTGCCATAGCTTTGTCATTTCAGGTTTATCTTTGCATTCGTCCCTCATATTATCCCATATGCTGAGTTCAAGTCTGCAGATGAGAGAGGGAGGCTGACAGTAGATTGTCAGCCATAATGGGTCATGCTGTTTCAGCCCTCAGAGGTCCAGGTTCAGTTTTTTTAGCAATTCTTGTGCTATTTAGGGTAGACAGAGTGACACTGGGACAGGTCTGTCTCTGAATACTTCAGTTTCCCCCTTCTGATCATCAGTCTGTATCGACCCTGATGATGGAGGTGGAGCAGGTTTCTAAAATGTTGGTTTTTAACCCAACTTTGAAGCATCCAAGAGGATTTTAATGCAGATAGGCTCGTTTGTGTTGATCTGACTTGAGTAGTTTTAATGTAATATTTTTAATAGGGAAATAAATTCTATATGAACTTTACTGAATATGTGTTGCACTTTTTTATTGGTGCATGCAACTGATCCATCTGGCCAAGCAATGCACTTCTTTCAATATAAATAACATTAGATAATAAATTAAAATCTGGCCACCAGCTTTTCTAGGAAGGGGCAGGTTCTCATACAGGTGTGGAGAGATAAAAGAGATGTGAAACTTATCTCCACTCTTCACACAGCAAAAATCGTGGAATCTGCAAAAACGAATCGCAAAGGAGAAAAAATATGCAGACCCGAGGTAATTGGGGACTACAATAAACATATGAGAGGGGTTGACAGGGCCGACAAATGCTGCATTATTATCTTGTTCCCGCAAAACTGTAAAGTGGATAAAGAAACTGGTGTTTTTCTTGTTGCAAATAGCAGCGTTGAATAGTTTCATTCTATTCAAAAAGAACACAACGAACGAAAAATACAAGAAGAGAAAATACAAATTCAAAGATTTTATATTGGACTGTGTAGAAAAAATGACAGAACCAAACAAACAGTGTGGAGAGGGAGAAGAGTCGAGGAATGAAGTGGATGACGAATCTATTGCTTCAGACTTGAGCATAGTAATCCCTGTGCCAGCGACATTCAAAAGACCACCAGTGAAAGACCCAGCAAATCATCTAGAGGGTGGCCTGAAAATACACAAAATGGTCCATGTTCCTCCCAGTAACAAGAAGAAGAATGGTGCCATGAGAAAGTGTCAAGGGTGTGCTAAGCACAAGATTAGAAAAGAAACAAGTGTCATGTGTGCAAGCTGTGGTGTGGCTCTCTGCAAACTTTCATGTTCCAATGTTTATCACACGAAGAAAAACTACTAAAAAGGTATGGAAAGACATTTCTTGCATAAAGTATTCTTTTTATTAATTCCAAAAATTTCTTTTTTAAAAAACAATATTTGTTGAAAAAGTAAAAGCATGCATTTTAGCGACTTAAAGCTTAAAGGGTCTGCCAGGACAGGGGTGGCATTTAAATACCCTTCGTGCCAGTCAAAGAGTTAAGAGGGGATACCAGCCTAGCAGTAACTTAGTGAAGGATGAGAATGGTGATCTGCTTGCAGATTCCCACAACATTTTGAATAGGTGGAGGAACTACTACTCTCAGTTACTGACTGTACATGGGGTCAGTGATGTTAGGCAGACAGAAATCCATACAGCTGAGCCATTAATATCTGATCCTAGCCCTTTTGAGGTTGAAAATGGTATTGCAAAATTGAAACTGTATAAACAGCCAGGTAGTGATCAAATTCAGACAGAACTTATTCAAGCAGGAGGCGAAATATTACGTTCTAAGATCCACAATCTAATTACTTCTATTTGGCATAAGGAAAAATTGCCTGATCAGTGGAAGGAGTCTATTATTGTACCAGTTCACAAGAAGGGTGATAAAACTGACTAGTAATTATCGGGGGATATCACTGCTATCAACTTCATATAAAATTTTGTCCAATATTCTTCTTTCAAGGTTAAGTCCATATATAGATGAAATTATTGGGAATCATCAGTGTGGGTTTTGACATAACAGATCAACTACAGATCAGATCTTTTGCATTCGTCAGATATTGGAGATAAAATGGGAGTACAATGAGACAGTACATCAGCTATTCATAGACTTCAAGAAAGCCTATGATTCAGTTAGGAGGGAAGTATTGTACAATATTCTAATAGAGTTTGGGATACCCATGAAACTAGTTAGGACGATTAAAATGTGTTTAAACGAAACGTATGGTAAAGTCCGTGTAGGTAAACATTTTTCTGATAAATTTCCTATCCAGAATGGTCTAAAACAAGGAGATGCTTTATCGCCACCCCTTTTCAACTTCGCCTTAGAATATGCCATTAGGAAGGTCCAGGGAAACCAGGTGGGACTGAAATTAAACGGGACACATCAGCTGTTGGCCTATGCCGATAATTTGAATCTACTAGGTGATAATGTGGATACCACAAAGAAAAACACACAAACTTTAAGTGATGCAAGTAAAGAGGTTGGTCTAGATGTAAACACAGAGAAAACTAAGTATATGTTGCTGTCTCATCACCAAAATGCAGAGCAAAATCATGACATAAAGATAGGAAACAGATGTTTTGAAAATGTGGAACAGTTCAGATATTTGGGAACAA